ACTTTCATTTCATATGCTTTTGTTTTCTTTCCCAGGTAGAAGATACAACCTTTCTAACAAATATTTAACTATAAAATATGCTATGATAGATCACTTCTTTATTTGTAAATTCTTCCACCTTAATTTCAAATACTATGAAAAAAAATATATCTTAAATACATGCAAACTATGGTTATTATCTCCAAATTAGGAGAAGTTATGGAATTGTTTTGTTAACTCAGTGCACAAAGCTCCTGATCTCAGAAATGGACTGGAGTTGGGAACTATATGTATTTTTTAAAAAGTAGTAACAATTAAATAACTTTATACACAATTGTGTTCACATCCACCTATCTCACAATATTCATTGTTGATCAAAAAATGGATTCCAAGAGAAAAAAAGGGAAATAGAATGCCAAGTCATTTTCAACATTGAAAAAGTGCTCCAAGCTTACATTTGTCTGATGGTGAGACAGTAGCCTCATCTTTACACAGACAATAACACAATTCCATTTTATTCCTTTAGCTTTCTGATATTTTTGTCGATAATAGGAATGTTTCAAAGCCAAATACATGTAGATTTGCCTTTTGCTATAACACTGAAAAATTTGTTTTTGCTTGAGTATATTAAAAATAAAACAAGAAGACAAAGTTTTCCTAGCCATGAGAAAATAGACATTTGACTGTAATTTATTCAAAGATCCCATGCAGAGGTTATATTTTTACACTTTAAGACAATTTAACAAAATATTTGATAGTGTTCAGATTTCATATATTAAACTTACGTCTGGTACTTTGCAAAACAAAGATAAGAATGCTCTTTGGCCCAACTTGACAACATTTTGTAATTCTGAATTCAAAAAGAAAACAGTTCATCCCTAGTTTTTTTTTGAGTATTCAGTTTTTAATTGAAAATATGATTATGGGCTTACATATAGTTTATTATTTATTCATATTTATCAAAGCATTTTTTCTCCCTGATGATTAGTATTTGTCATGTTAAACAGGAGATAGCAAGATTAGATTCAGACAATAAGGTAAAAGTTCAATGTTTTCCTAATTTATCCCATTTGAATGTGTCTACTTTATACATAATAATAAAAATACCTAACATTTCTTAAGTGTTTTCTAAGTGCAAACCATTTTACATGGTTTACATAATTTCTTCCCCACAACAGCCACTTGAGATACTATTATTCTCTTTATACAAATGAGAATATTAAGGTTTACAGAATTGAAGTGACCAACCCACAGTTGAGCAACTGATAAGGAAGGATGCTAGTCTGAGTTCTCTGAGGAATGGAGTAGTGATAAATGTGTGGTAACAATATTTTAATCATAGTCAATGAGTTGGTAAAAATAAATTTCTACATAAAATCGCATTATTTGGCTTGTCTTTCAAAATATGCCCAGCAGAAAAAAAAACTAAAATCCATAAAATGTATTGTAAGGAAAAAAAAATCTCCTGTTCAAAAATAAGAACCTGGCTGACCCAATCTGACCAACCCATATTAAATATTAATTGTCCCCTTTGCCTTTCTGCATCTGTGCATTGTTCACAAAGCACAAAAGAAATAATTGCACAAGAATTACATAAAGCCATGTATTCTATTTATAAAACTGACTAGACATTGCCAACACTCAGTACCAATGTCTTCAACATTATCATGACATTATAGCCATACTTTTTAATAAAAATATAAATTACTGTTTACTCCCTGAAGCTAACCTCACTCATGGTAAATTATTTATGTATCCATTTTAATATGCATTTTGCATCTGACAGGACAACTCTCCTTAGGACCCTTTTACTGACCCACCTGTCACTCTGATGGGGTAAACAATGTCACCTTTCCAGTGCACAATGAATTACAAAGAAGTTGCAAAGTACACCATCCATCATGCTGGCACTAAGCAGGTTTCCAAGTAGATCTCAGATATCACAAATGCTGTTTAGACTGCTACCAGAAAGCCAAAATTGGAAGCTTATACAAAACAGTCATATGATGAATGGACATGACAGCTCTTCAAAGAAAAGGGGCACTCCTCTTCTACAAATAACCTTGTCAAAAGCAAAAGTAGCAGGGAGCTTTGCTAGCAGTCAAACTAGAATAATTTAGGAACTTGTTAATGGCTCTGCTGGGTAGAAATTCATGCAAATGCGATGTACTCAAAATAAAAACTAGGTATGCCGGAATCAGCAGCAACAGCAACCTCTTGAGTCTGATTTGAATTAGAAAATGATCTGAAGGGATACAGAAAAATTATCAATGTTATACTAATTAGAAAATGTGAGTTTCAAAAATATACCTGTCTAAAACATGCATATAAAATATGCATGTATTCTATATGCATATAAAAGTCACCTATAAATTGCTTTGCTTTTGAAAATCATAACACAAATATAGATATTTAAAAATCAATATCAATAACTTATTATATCCTTTATTGAATAGACATTTATTTTTTGCCAACAAGTTGGGTATTTATTTATTTTTATTTTTATTATTGTTTAATTACAGTTGTCCTCATTTTTCCTGCATTACTCTCCCCTGCCCTAGATATTTAAATTAATATGTACTTACCATAACAAACTTAAATTATTATTATGATTTTAAAAAGCTATTGTCAGTGTTTACATCAAATTTGTCTAGTTAATTTCTCAAATTCTCCATATTGCGGTGTTTGTTTTATTCATAATTGTACTTTAGTTCCTTCAATACTACTTCCTTTTATTTAGGCCTAATGTCTCAGACATGGAGTGTATATTTCTGAATCTACAGCTAACTTTATTTCTCCTGTTTAATAGCTATACTTGAAGTCTTTCCCAACACTTCTTTATTAAAATGGTAGCTTTTATAGAATTTATAAATGTTAGGAGTGTCCTAATGACTTATGACTTCATAGGTATTTAAATACAGTCATACCTCTGTACTCATTGGCTTCAGAACTTCTCAAACCCTGTACTTGTAGCATTTTGACAAGAAAAAGATGTTTCAGTACTCGGTGCTTGCTGGGAACTCATCGCTTGCTCAGAACTCATCACACTTGCTGGAACTTGTATGAGTCAGGATGCTGCCCCAGCCCGCGAGACGAAATGCTTCATTGTTAGGTAATTCAGTACTTGTTGGATTCCACACTCACTCACCACAAGTTCCAGAACAACTTAATGACAAGTACCAAGGTACTACTGTAATTCCATGATTTTGTAGTAGACATTGGTTTACTTTTTTATGAAACAGAAAAATTTAAACATTTCTAACTTATAAGATAAATGTGTAGAAAACTCTCAGAGGAATGGTCACATTGGAACATTAAAAAAAAAAATCCAGTGGGCCCAATGGATGATTAAAAGGGGCCCCACAGATGAAACAGAGGCACAAGTTATAATTTCATGGCTTTTCTGTATCACCTCTTTCAAAGAATATCGAATGCTTATCACAGAAAATTGAAAAGCAAATACATGGGGATGTTTCCAAGGACCCATTCAAGTTTCTGGGTTTTGTGTGCTTGTTTGGGACATGCTTTCCTTTAGGGGAGGAGATGGCTATGCTGAATTTCAGTCAACTGGGATAAAGAGGAGGCTGAAAATGTATGGGGCTTATGCAGAGGTAGGAGTCTGAGAGAAAATATGTGGGATAAGTTTAGAATCTTAATGATATCAAAGCTTCTGAACAAAATAAATAATGCTGGCAACCTTCCCTCTGTTTTTGTTAATACACAGGTGTGTTTCCATTACTGTCTACCTGAAATAGTATATATTAATCAGAGCACATTGTATGAGTCCTATACTAGAAACACTGCAGACATTTAATATTATAGTAACTTTTAATTAGTGAGAAGGCTTTTCAACGCTGTGCTTTCATATACAGTCCTTCTGCTAAAACAGAGAATAATACAACACAGAACACAATGTTGAACAACTGGAAAAATGCTCCTCCCCACCACAAACCTCCCAAAATACTATATGTGTGTATAATATATATTATATAATATATCTGGAATAGACATATATTTCTGCAAAGCAACTTTAAATGGTTTAAATATTTCATATATCAATCAGAGTTGATAAGTAGTTATATACTTCAAAATCTGTGCCAATAATGAACAACAATCGGAAATATAACATTATCTTATTTGTATTAAAAGAGGCAATCTACTGTTTTCTAAAAGACTAAATATGCTTATTAAATTAATAGTTTACATGGAGATAGAACACTTGCTAATTAAGAAAACTAATGACTAATTATATAGTGTACCTAACTGGTATATTGTTTTTAGTGTGGCCTAGGCTCTGCCCTCCATTAGCAAATTTAATTCTCAGAGAAATATTATGATGTTGGAACTATAATTATCCACACTACAGAGATGAAGAGATAGCCCTCCATGGATAAGTGACAGTGGGTATTGGGGAGCTGAGGTTGAAATTAGTCTATGTGGCTCTAGAAGCCACGCACACAACCACAATGCCAAAAAATGACCACACCAAAAAAAGAAAGAAAAAAACAACAACAGCTAACCCAGGAACAGCAGACCAATAATCCATAGCTGGCCCTCTAGCTCAGGTATTTTCCATTAAGAAAGTAGATGTACTATATTTCAAATATTAATTATGTGAATAATCATATCAATTTTGCTCTATTTCTTGTGTGTGTACACAGTTTCAAAGCACAATTGCCTCCATTTCTATTCTTTCTGTCCATATCAATCTATTAAAATTTACCTTTAGAAACCAAAGAAGGAAATGAATACAGTCTCTATGATTTAAGCAAACTGTGAACGACTCAGTCACATGTTCAACACTTTGAATTAGATTATTGTAACGTTTTTTCACTTTGATAATATAATGAGAAAAGTGTCAGGCAGTCCCAGTCTTCCTTTTCTTTTCCTGGCATCTCCACTGAGAACATATAATGGTTACTTTTGTATGTTGCATCTTGCCAGTTAGTTCAATTTAGATGAAAGCTGTTGTTTTCTAATTCTATTTCACCGTAAATGACAGAGACAAATGGTCATATTACCTTGAGGGTTCCTTTGGCAGAATAGGCTGCATATGAGTAGAGCAGATCTTGGCTGCTCTGTGTTCTGGCGTCTTCACTGCAAGGCTGGCCATTAGGATGAAAGCATTGGCCACTGCGGCTCAGAGTCACAGAGCTGGGAAAAGGGCCCGGCAGATTAAGCAGCACGGAGTAATTTACAAACTGCACATCTTCAAGGCCCAAAGAAGTCCACTGAGTCTTAATTGCCGTTGAAATTTCTGCGTCATCTTCACTTCTGTACAGTTGTACCAAGTTTCTGAAAGAAATTTAAAAAAGAAAATCTTTATTCTTTTTAGTAATGACTGTTCCATATATAAACAATCATTAGGAGCTGTGGGATATGAAAGATGAATGAGATGGGACACTATACAAGAAACTCACGGTTAGTTGGACGTGACGAACTTTCACAGAAATTACACTAAATCAAAACAGAATGAACTCAGTTCTTAAATTAAGAACTAATCAAAGCACTATGGGACTGCAGAGAAGAGAGGGATTAATGCCAGTTAGTTCTTTCATTAGTTCTGATCCTTCTAGCAACATCAACACTCAATCCATTCAAAACTCAGTTCCAAAACTAAGAGTCACACTGGCTGATAGAGTTCTGTATTACAGTTACTATGATTGCCTATAAAGCTGTGTGATTAATACATAGCTGTTGCTATTTAAAATTATACAGGCAGAACTCTTTTTTCATATAAATTGCATACCAAATTACATGATGCTATGACCACAATGATATGCAATAAAATCAATATATCATGGTAAAACCAACCACAGATTGTCAAACCAATATGAAATTAATTGCTGTGTGTGCTTGATAAAGACTATCTATTTATTCCTATATCTGTGCCATAATTCATACTGATACTTTCTATTATCTGCTTATGATGTCCTAGAAGCCAGAAAAAATATGTTAAAATATGTGTAGAACCTATAACAAAATCAGACATGGGAAATTAAAAAAATAATAATCCAGTAAAGCTTTGGTTTGTTTGGTCGGGGGGGAGTGGAAGCTGGAACACAAAAGGACAGCTTTCACTTTTAGCAAAAAAAAAAAAAAGTATCTTCTTATGAGAATTTTATTGCTATTCAAACTATTACCTAAATAGCTATTTTTATATCATTATTTTTGCCCAGCACATTATTTTTCTCACATGTACTTACTACTTTTTGGATCTTGTTTATTCAAGAAACCCAAAGTAAAATACCTTGGAAATGGAATAAAAATGCACACAGTGGAAAAAATATGGAGACAAGAGGTAGGTCTACTGACATAGCTTGAAAAGATGTAATGATATACAATGTCCCAGCTGTTTTCTACCCCTTTAAGGCTACTTCTGTTCTTTTTAAAAAATATCTAGTTTGACCAATCATCAGTGCTATGTACATTTTATGGAAAAGTTGATTAAAGAATCCCATTGTTTTTATTTATATTCTTAATTAAGACTGGGAGTCTACATTCTATTGCATTTTTGTATGTGTGTGGTGAGGTGAGGTTTTGAAGGTATAATTGGCAAGTGAAATTTATATTTAAAGTGTACATGATTTAATACACATGTACATTGTAAAATTATTATCACAAATTTACACATCCATCACCTAACATAGTTACCTTTGTGTGTGTTTGTATGTGTATTCTGTGTTGAGAACACATAAAATCTAATCTCTTAGCAAATTTCAACTACACAATACAGTATATTAACTATAGCCACCATATTGTACAATAGATCCTCAGAACTTATTCATCTTGTAACTGAGGGCTTGTGTCCTTTGAACAACATCACCCCACTTCCCACAGACCTCAATTCCTGGCAACTATTATTCCACTTTGTTTTTCTAAGTTTGACATTTTTCTTTTTTTTCTAGATTCTACATGTAAGTGATACTAAACAGTGTTTGTGTTTCTCAGTCTAGCTTATTGCACTACTGCACTTATGAAAGATCCCTCAAAATTCATCTGCATTGTTGCAAATGGCATAACCTTTACTAAGGCTGAATAATATTCCATTGTACATATATCTTGCTTTTCTTTATCCCTTCATCATCTGTGAATACAGGGGCTAATTTCATACTATGGCTAATAATTCCCATTATTTGGGGTATAATGCCGCAATGAACATGAGAGTGCAGGTATCTTTTTTACATACCAGTTTTATTTCCTTTGGATATATATCCAAAAGTGGTATTGTTGAATCATATAGTAGTTCAGTTGTCTTTCTTTTTTTTTTTTGAGGAGACTTCATACTGATTTTCATAAAGGCTGCACTAGCTTCCATTCCCTCCAACAGTGCACAGTTTACCTTTCCTTCCCATCCTCACTAGCATTTGTCTCTTGTTTTATTGATAATAGACATCCTGACCCGTGGGAGGTGCTATCTAATTGTGGTTTTGCTTTTTATTCCCTAATGATTAGAGATGTTAAGCACCTTTTGTGTATCTGTTGATCATTTGTATATCTTCATTGGAAAAATGCCTACTCAGGTCCTTTGGCCATTTTTTTAATTGGACTATTTATGGGTTTTTCCTACTGAATTATATGAGTTCCTTATATATTTTAGATAAGCCCTTATCAAATACATGGTATGTGCATATTTATTTCCATTGCATAGGTTGCCTTTTGTTGATTGTTTCCTTTGTTGCACATAAGTTTTTTGTTTTTTTTTAAATTTGAAATAGTCCCACTTGTTTATTTTTGCCTTGTTGCCTGTACTTTTGTTATCATATCTAAAAAAAAACTATTGTAGAATCAATGTCAAGAAGCATTCCCTTTTGTTTTGTTATTTTCCAGAAGTATTTCAGTTTCAGGTCTTATATTTAAGTCTTTAATCCATTTTGAGTTTTTTGTGAACAGTGTAAAATAGGGACATAATTTCATTTTTTTTTTTTGCATGTGGATATCCAGTTTTCCCTACAACATTTATTGAAGAGACTATTCATTACCAAGTGTGTGTTCATTGTGCCTTTGTCAAAATTAATTGACTATATATACCTCAGCTTATGTCTGGGCTCTCTGTTCTGTTCCATTGATTTTTTAATTTTTATTTTTTTTAGATTTCATTTATTATTTATTTTTAGAGAGGGGAAGGGTAGTAGAAAGAGAGGCAGAGAAACATCATTGTGTGGTGTCCTCTCATGTGCCCCCTACCATGGACCAAGCCTTCAATCCAGGCATGTGCCCTGACTAGAAATCGAACGGGTGACCTTTTGATTCACAGGCTGTCACTCAATGCACTGAGTCATACCAGCCAGGGCTTTTTTATTCGTTTTTACGTGTGTTATTGTTCATTACCATTTATCCCCCTTGAACCTACTTTCTCTCCCGCAGTCGCCACACTATTGTCCATGTCTATCAGCCCTTTTTCCTTTTCACTCCATTCCTCCACTCTTTAACCCCTCCCCCAGAGTTGTCAATCTGCACTCTATGAATCTGTCTCTGCTTTGCTTGTTAGTTCAGCTCATTCATTAGATTCCACATATGAATGAAATTCTATGGTATATTTCTTTCTCTGACTAGCTTATTTCATTTAGCATAATGTTCTCTAGGTACATTAATGCTGTCACAATGGGTAAAATTTTCTTCTTTCAACAATCCAATTATTCAGGGCAAAAAACCTGAACAGACACTTTTCTCAAAAGGATGTACAGAGGGCCCATAGATATATGAAATATTCACACTGGTCAGAATGGCTATCATTAAAAAATCAGAAACAACAACAACAACAATAAAAAAACAAGTGCTAGTGAGGATATGGAGAAGGGGGAACCCTTTTGCACTGTTGGTAGGAATGCAGATTGGTGCAACCACTGTGGAAAGCAGTAAAAAGATACGTCAAAAAATTAGAAATGGAACTGCCTATGATCCAGCTCTCATACTTTTGGAAATGTATCCAAAGGAACCCTAAACACTAATTTGGAAGAACATACGTGCCCCTATGTTCATTGCAGAATTGTTTATACTTGCCAGGATATGGAAGCAACCCAAGTGCCCATCAGTAGATGAATAGATAAAACAACTATGGGACATTTACACAATGGAATACTACTTGGCCATTTATCTATTTTTATCATTGGATCTGTTTCACTGATCATGTTTAATCAAAGAGATCATTAATCTGTTCTTATGCCAATACCACAATGTTTTGATTACTATACCCTCATAATATAGTTCGAAATAAAGAAGTGTGATGCGCCCAGCTGCATTCTTTTTTCTCAAAATGGCTTTGGTTATTCAGGGTCTTTGTGGTTCTATACAAAGTGTAGGATTGTTTGTTCCATTTCTATAAAAATGTCATTGGAATTTTTATAAGGATTCCATTAAAACTGTAGATTGCTATGTATAATTATGTACATTCTAAAAATATTCTTCTAATGCAAGAACAGGAGATATATTTTATTTATTTGTATCTTTTTCAATTTTTCCCGCCAATGTTTATGGTTTTCAGTACTGGTCTTTCACATCCTTAGTTAAATTTATCTCTAAGAATTAGGTTATTTTTAGTGTTTTTGTAAATTGTACTTAAAAAAATTAATGTAGTTTGCTGTGTGTAGTAGCACAACTAATTTTTATATTGACTTTGTATCTTGCAACTTTACTAAATTCACTTATTAGTTCTAATATTTTTTATTGATACTTTATGGTATTCTGTGTATAAGATCATATCATGTGCAAACACAGACAATTTTGGTTTTTCCTTTCCATATGGATCTCTTTTATTTCTTTTTCTTGACTGATTGCTTTGGCTAGAACTTTTGGTAATATATTGATGACAATGCAGAGAGAATGAGCATCTTTGTCTTGTTCCTGATCTTAGTGGAAAACCTTTAAGCTCTTCACTATTAAGTATTATGTGATCTGTGGCCTTGTCATATATGGCATTTATATTCATTCTAAAATTAATTTTTCTTGAGATATTTTTATCATGAGGGATGTTGAATCTTATCATACGCTTTTTCTTCATCTATTGAGATGATCATGTGATTTTTACATTTCATTGTGTTAATGTGGTATAAAGATTTATTGATTTTCATATTTTAACCATCCTCGCATCCCAGGGATAAATCACATTGATTATGGTGTATGCTCCTTTTTAACCTGATATTGAATTCTGTTTGTTAGCATTTGTAAAGATTTTTACAGTTAGGTTCATCAGGAATATTGGCCCCTAATTTTCCTTTCTTGTGGTATTCTCACCTGGCTTTCATATTAGAATAATGCAGATTTCATAACACAAATTATAAAATTTTTTGAAGAGT